AACATAAATGAACAAGGAATCTAATGTATAAAATAAACTGAATAAAATAGAATCAGAGGCATGAAAACATGGAGCAGACTGACGAATCTCACAGAGAAGGGGAGGTGGGTGGGAAGAGATTAACCAAAGGTTTTATATGCATACCAGAGGCCCGATGCAAGGGGCTTGGCCCTCACAGCTGCGGCGGCTTGCCTCAGCTCTCATACCCCAGCTTCGTCCAGAGGATGTCTGGAAGTTTGTTTGGCTATCCAGTCTAATTAGCATATTACATTTTTATTATTATAGATATGTATTACCTATGGACACAGATAATAGGGTGAAGTTCTGGGGTGGGGCAGGAACCAGGTGGAGGGGGGAAACAGGGAAAAAAAGGGGTTATCTGTAATACCCTTAACAATAAAGATTTGTTTAAAAATGGGCAATGGCCTTCAATAGAAACTTCTTTAAAGAAGATATATGAATGACCAATAAGCACATGAAAAGATGCTTAATATCATTAATCATCAGGGAAATGCAAAACAAAATTACCATGCAATACCACCTCACACCCATTAGGATGGCTGCTATAAAAAAATAAAAATAGCCCTAGCTGATTTGTCTCAGTGGATAGAGCATGAGCCTGTGGACTGAAGGGTCCCAGGTTCGATTCTGGTTAAGGGCACATGCCTGGGTTGTAGGCTCGAACCCCAGTGGGGGACATGCAGGAGGCAGCCGATCAGTGATTCCCTCTCATCATTGATATTTCTATCTCTCTCTCCCTCTCCCTTACTCTCTGAAATCAATAAAAAAAAAAAGAAATAAAAATAAAAAACAGAAAATAACAAGTGTTGGTAAAATTTTGGAGAAATTGGAAACTTTGTGCATCATGGTTGGGGATGTAAAATAGTACAGCAGCTGTGAAAAACAGTATGAAGGTGCCTCAAAAAATTAAAAATAGAATTACCATATGATCCAGCAATTCAAATTCTGGGTATACACCCAAAATAACTGAAAGTAGGGTCTTAGAGATAATTGCTCACCCATATTCACAGTAGCGTCATTTGCAATAGCTAAAACAAGAAGAGTCCAAGTGTCCATTGACTAATGAATGGATAAGCAAAATGTCACACAGACATGCAATAGCAGAGCATTCAGCCTTTAACAGGGAGTGTTCTTCAATAGGCTACAATATGACGAACCTTGAGGACATTCTGCTGTGTGAAATAAGCCAGTCACAAAAAGCCAGATACTGTATAATTCTACTTACATGAGGTATTTAGAATAATCAAAATCATAAAGACAAAAAGTATAACGGTGGCTGTCAGGGGCTGGCAGAGGGGAAGTGAGGATTTATTGTTAACAGGTATAGAGTTAAACAAACTGAAAAGAATTATGGAGATGGTGGAGATTGTTGTACAATGTGAAGTATTTAATTAATAAAACTAAACTGTATACTAATAAATAGGTCAGATGAAAAATTTAATGTCATGTGTATTTTACCACAAAAAAGCAGGTACCCAAGAATTAAAATTAAAAATAAGAATCAAGAAATTAAGTTTTTTAAAATCAACAAAAACCAAAATTGCTTCTTTGAGAAAATGTAGTAAAATTGATGAACCCCACCCAGCAGGACTGATCTCTGTACATTTACACAGAAAAGAATGGGAGGAAACAGTTCAAACATAAACAGGGCGATTTTTATATGTGCAAATGCAGACCCATTTTTACTTTCCTCTGAGTTTACTTTTCTGTAGGTAAATTCTTTAGCAGGACAACTCCACGGTGTGAAATGCAGCTTTCAGACTCACCTGGCAGCCAGGGAATAAATGGCATTGGCCGATGCGGAAGGTTTGATTTTGGGGTGCTCACACTCTGGACCTGCTAATGGGCTGCTATTCATATTCTGGAAAGAAAAGTGTTGAAAAAGGACCTTCTTAATACAGCTAAGCATCTCCTCTTATTAACCTACTGACAATAGCAAGAACAGTAATATAGGCACAGACCTCACTCCACGCCACACTCGCGTTATTACATCTAACAAAAGCACAGCTGTCCCAGGCTCTGAAAAGCTCAAATGTAGGGAGACGAGGGAGACGGAGATAAAAAACAAGCCAAGGACTTATGTATTTTTTCTTAATTCTAGAAATACTTGTGAAAACTGTCTACACAAATACCATTTCTAACTTTAAAAACCTATTTTTCTATATTGACACCACCACAAAGTCAACCCTAATCCCTCACTGAGATGCCACTCAAACCTGTCATCCCTCCCCTTGCAGTCATTCTTGGCCACAGCATGCCTCAACCTCTCCCTTCCACTTCCATTTTTCCCTTAGATTTCTAACTACCTGCTGGTCAATTCTTGCTTCAATAGCTCATCTCAAATTCAACATGTCTCTAGCCAGGTTCAAAACCTCAAGGGTGTGTGCGCGTGTGTGTGGTTTCCTGTCCTGTCCCCACCCACAGACTGCTTTCAAACTTACTGGGTCTTTGTTTCTCACCCTCTCAAGGCTCTGCCTAATCTGGCTGCCCCACCTGCTCACAGACAGCTATTCTCCTTCCTGCTCACTTAGTACCAACTATGGTCCACCCTGTCATTCCTCAAACACTCTCCTAAGCGCAGCTGCTTTCCCTTCATACTGGAATTGTCTTTCCCCAGAATTAGCATGGCTCCCCTCCCCACGCTCCAGGTCTTGGCTTAGCTGTCCCAATGCCCTTTCTGCCCTACTTTTTCTCTACAGCACTCATCCATGTCCAACACCATGTATGTTCTCACTTATCTTTTTTATTTTGTCTTTCCCCTACTAGAATATGGACTTTATAAGGGCAAGAATTTATGTTGAGTGCATAACTGAACCAACAAAAGAATGAACATACCCCTTCCATCCTCAGATCCAGATCCCTTATATCGCATGCTTATAGAATGGACCCCTAACCTGTCTTTTTTTCAATCTATTCTCTTATCAATCCATTCTACATACAATTATTGGAATCATCTCTTTATAATTAAAAAATGTTTTATTTATTTTAGAGAGAAGGGATGGGAAAGGTAGAGGGAGAGAGGGGGAGATGGTGAGAGAGAGAGACATTGATCAGTTGCCTCCCATATGTGCCCCAACCAGGTATCCAACTGTGAGTGGGACAATGCTCCACCAACCGAGCCACACCAGCCTGGGCGGGCACCTCTTTAAACTGGCATTTTGGTCATGTCACGCCACTAAGTTAAAACTTTGAAATGCTCCCCATTTCCTACCAAATAAATTTAAATTCTTGTGGGAGGCCCTCTAATCTAGTACTAATGTCCTTTCTAGCCACTTTTCATACTTTGGTACACAAAATTTCTGCTCTACTCAGTCAACCGCTCATCTGTAATACACCGAAGCCTTCCTGTGTGTAGCTCTGCTCTCCTTAGAGCTGGGCCCGCTGTGGAAAGAGTCCTTCAAATTCAGAAGTC